CGGAAGGATCGCCGGAGTCCATCAGGTCGAGGCTGCAGTGGCCGGGAGCAGCCACTGCACACCCGTCTGGGCGACAGAGTGAGACTCCAACTCAAAACAAAATCAAATTAAATTAAATTTTTTAAAAAATGTTTTAAGAGGAAAAAATTAATAATTTCAAGACAGCAACAGCAGAGCATTCAACCCTGAGTAGCTGTAGAGTGCACGCCTGTGAATCTAACCCTGCTCTGGGTTAAACCCCATGTCACCTTTTCTCTTTCACATATTTTTTCCAGTATAAATTGTCATTAAAGAAAATTTGGAAAATACAGAAATGAGAAAGAGAAAGCCAACACCATAGTTTGTCACTCTCATACACCACCAACACAACAGTGGTATATTTCTTTCTAGGTGGTTTTTACTTTTTATTACATACAAATATTTTCCTTTCAGTATAGTAATTAATATCGTATAAAAAACCGTGACACCAAAAAAGCAAGATAACATCAAAGGAAAATTTGATAATTCAAGTATTTTGAGTTCCTTTGGGACTGATCTGGTCTTTTGTTCCTGCTGGTTCTTGCTCTTGGAGTCCTCACTCCGAATGGATCTAGTCATTTTTTTGTTGTATGCCAACATTGTTTTGAAAAGTTTTTCACAGACATTGGAGGCCTAAGATGATATTATCTTCCCCAAGGAAGATTTTCTGCTTCTTTTGCTAGGTGTCAAGGGGAACCCAGCCCTCCAGAATTCCAAATCCAGATTCAGCATTTGGAATTTTCTGGGCTAACCAGGTGACTATGGCCTGTGTGCAGCTGGTTTCTTTCCCTTTCACCCTCACATGGAACAGTCTTTCTGGATTCCAAGCCAAAGCAGAGGATTTCCCAAGTCCCAAGCTGTGGTGGTCCCTGAACTCTGACTTTCGCCCCCAGCCCCACAAAGCACTGAAAGCATTGTTCAGTCTCTCAACCACCTCCTCCAGGTTAACAAATGCCCCTAGGCAAAAACCAACCCCAAGTGCCAAACTGCCCTCTCTGGATTCTAAGTCACTCTCAGAAGTTGGCCCCAGTAATCTGTTACTCTCTTGTTAGGTCTTTGATGCTTTCAAGAATATGTTTTTATATTTCACTCAGCTTTTTAAGCTGTGTTCAGTGGCAGGATGGTCTGAATTACCTAGCCCAGCATTACAAGAATCAGGAGTCTCTACATCAAAAGAACATTTCAAACAAAAAACTTGAATCCATTATCCTGCTACTGTGACTTTCAAATCTCCATCCAGCTTCTGTTTTTCTTGTCCTTTCCCCAGCCCTGCTTTACCTGTTTTATCAGTTACAGAATGATATCTCAACAAAGATGCCTGTAAAACTTCATAAAATAAGAACCCCAGGCAGTTATTGATCGTTAGCTCATAAAATGTTATTTAGTACCCATTGTGCTGGGCACTGTCAGGGATCCACAGAGTCCCCAGTCTAATTGGTGAGGTAGTAACTCTTTCACACGGCAGCACTACAAAAAAAAAAAAGTACCTGTGACAGTACAGAAAGGCAAGGGATAAAGTGATTGGTAATGGATATTGAGTAACCAACCTACATAATTTCCTTTACTGTAGATACTGAAAACCCAGTTACCTGATTTTTTTCCCCCTACCCACCACGAGGCCAGGAGTGGCCATATGACACCATTTGAACTCAAAATTATACTTCTTTTAGCCTGGAATGCAGACCTGATATCTGGAGGTACAGCAGCCATCTTGTGACCATGGGGAGAAAATCCATGCATTAAGAGTAGAAAAACTAAGAAGATAGTGGAAGCCAGAACCACTCACAATATAATTGAGCCACTCTTCTAGCCCTTAACTTCCTATTCCCTGATTTCTTATTAAATGAGACAGTAAAACCTCGCCTTTTTAAACCATGGAAGAAAGGTTACAGGTACATACAAGTCTTAACTGATACCATGGTTTAACAGAAGTAGAGGTATCCTGATAAGACAGGAAATTGAGATAGTCTATTTATGGCTGGTCCTAGACTGTTTTAACCTTCCTGACTTGCTATCTTTAGCATGTGGATTTGGTTCTTTGGTCCCACAAAGACTGCTGTACCTCCAGCCATTATGTTCATATTACAGGCAGGAATAAAAAAATAAAA